CAGTATCGATATCGGTTATCGGCTACATGAGTTTTAAAATATCGGCATATCGGATATCGGCCAAAATCCCAATATCGTGCATCCCTACATTTTTATCTAATTATCTTATTTTAAGAGTAAAAATACTCATTCCATTGGCAAACTACCTCATTTACTTACTCAAATTATGGTAAATACACTTAATTTAAGAAAATTCTACTTATTTCTAGATCGTTTTTCCAGTGTAGGTGTACATACATATATACACTGCAAAAACAATCTAGAAATAAGTGAAAATGTCTTAAATTAACTGTATTAACTCTTAATTTGAGCAGGTAAATAAGGCTGTTTGCCAATGGAATGAGTATTTTTACTCTTGGAATAAGATAATTAGATAACATGCACTTAAAATAAGACAATGCTATTGTATTGTTTGGTCTTATTTTAAGTGTAAATTGTTTCATTTCATTGGCAAAGTGTCTCACTTACCTCCTCAATTCAAGAAAAAAATGCACTTATTTTTAGAAAAAAATGACTTATGTAGATATAAAATTTTTGCAGTGTAATTTTTGCAAAAACACAATCTACACTGCAAAAAACAATCTAAAAATGAGTAAAAATGTCTTAAATTAAGTGTATTTACCCTTAATTTGAGTAGATAAGTAAGATGATTTGCCAATGGAATGAGTATTTTTACTCTTTAAATAAGATAATTAGATAATATGCACTTGAAATAAGACAATGCTATTGTATTTTCTTATTTTAAATGTAAATTGTCTTGTTCCATTGGCAAAGTGTCTCTTTTATCTCCTCAATTCAAGAACAAATGCACTAATTTTAAGAAGAAATTACTTATCTAGATTTTGTTTTTTTCCAGTGTATTGTAAGGTTTTTAAGTTTTATCCCACAAAATTCTGAAAGCATACATATGTTTCCCTTTCTATAAATAAACATCATCAGGTCTGTATTAACTGGTAACAGTTTCAGCTTGCAGAACATATGCTATGGTAATCTGCAAGGTTCAGCATTCTCAAATGCTTGATTAGTGTATAAAATTAGCCTTGATCCCAATGAAAAAACCTTTTTTATTTCAATTGAATTGATGTAGATGTCCTTTACTTATCCCCATGAAGTTCATTGCTTCTCTCTTCTTTTTTTTTTTGTATTTTTAAGTCTTGGATGTCAAAGCCTTTGAGAGACTACTCGGCCCGTGCATGGACATCATGAAGAGAAACATCGCTAACTACGAGGAGCAGCTGGTGGCCTTGTTTGGAAGTAGCACTGAGATTGAGCAGCAGAGTGCATAAAGCAACTCCAACAAACCATAATGGAGACAACGGGAACAAACAGGCCCACTGAGGATGTTTTTCCGCAATGCTACTCAAAACACAAGAAGAAATGTGAATACCCACTATACAACATTTGAGTGTCTTACAATTAAGACTAAGATATGGCCCGTTTTAGTAGAGTGTACAACAGAAAGTTGCAGATTCAGCACGCCAAAGCAGAGTTGCTCAAAAGCTTGTTTTATTGCATTAACCATGACTTTCACTGTAAAGAATATGTGTGCATTTTAATTGTCGAGTGTCAAGTGCTTCACTTTTTTTGTAAACTGAAACACTTTGTTAAGCCTCACCCCATATTTTTCTTTGAAAAACGGTATTCTGATAAGACAGTGTATTATTGCTTGTAAATTTCTAAACCTTAGCAGTCTTAAATAGGATGCCACAGTTGATTTATGTTTGGATAGTCATTTTCGATTTGCCACATTTACCTTTCTCAGTAGGAGAAATTCATATGATCCACACATGGCGTGAAAAAATATTTACTTCCTCACAGATTTGGAAAATTTTGCAGCCTAAATGTTGTTAAAATTAAAGCAAACTTTAAAATCATGCAAGGATAATCTTAATAAATACAAAATGCAGTTTTTAAATTATGATTTTTTTCTTTACTTAGAGAGGGAGATCTATCCAAACCAACCCTGTATAAAAAAGTAATAAAGTGATTGAACCGTTGTTAGTTATTCATTTTATATGATCGATCATGTGTTTTTTTTAAAGCTGAGTTTATTTATATTTACTGAACCAATTACCGGTATTACCAAACTTTAATAAAAATTATGTCTGATAATATAAAGTTGGCCAAAATCCATGCCCCATGCCCTGATCAATAGAAATTAAATAACATGATAAAGTTACTGACATATATTAATGGAAACTTAAAGACATATCAAAGGCTTTGGGATTTCAGTGAATCCGTATATATCCGTATCTCTATCCAAATGGACAAAAACAAGAACATTTACAGAAGCTGTAAGTAGAACAAAATTACTTTAAAAATACAGTACATCAGCATTTTCTTCAGAAACTCAAAACAGAACCTAGCACAACATCCAAAGATCTACAGCTATATATGTTAAGATCAATATTTATCACTATGGAGAGAGACCAGACAAAAATGTCCTCCTTTAAATGGTTCCACGGCCAAAGCCGCCGCCAACCACAAAGACTGCTGAGCCCCATCTTATATTTGCCAAACCAATCCTCATCAGCCCAATGACTTATGGCAAAATATTCTGTCAACTGATTAGAAAACAAACAATGATTTAAAGGGGGGGTGGATTACCTGTGTGACATAAAACTGAATGTTTTTGAAAGAGCATTAAACAAAGACTTAAACACAGTGTTGGACGTATGGTGGTGGGGGCTGCTTTGACCTAACCTGACTCCGCTCCGCATATCCATCTGGAAACTTTCCGTTGAAGTAATTTTGGGAAGGGGCGAAAATACTGGTTAGCGGATTGGCCTATGTTGGTGATAGACGGGCCAAATAAACCAATCAGATCAACGAAGCATATGACGTACCAACAGAGCGACGACGAAAACACAACCACAAGCCAGGCTACTCTTGCCGAAACCAGTCAGGAGAAGAGCAAAAACATCTTTTCCTCTGAGAAAAGCCTCCAGAGCAGTGTTTTGCTCTTTATTCAGTGAAGAAATACTCTGTAATTCCGATAAAACTTGCTCGATAGCCACGCTAACGCTAGTTTCATCGGCTGAAGCCGCCATGTTCTTTAGACTGAACTGTTGCGCTTCTCGTTGCGTCACACCTCAACCCGCCTCAAAGCCAACGCTGATTGGACGTTCGTTTGGTGAACGGCTCCAAATTTTCTTTAACGGAGAGTCTCCAGACTGATCTGCGAGTGAAATCTTGAAAGCTCGCGAGATCAGGATGGTCTCACGAGGCTAGCTTTGACCCTCCTAAAGGAGCTAGAACATTAGTTCAAGTACCCTAAAGCCTCTTTTGGTATTAACAAGGACAATCATAGCGGATTATGAAATCCCCCTCTGGAAAGCTGAAAGATAGTGAAGTAACCTAATCTAAATCTGGACTTCATATCTTTAAATGGGCCATTTATGCTCAAAACCCTCCAATATTTGGGTTGCGAGTGAAATGCTTTTTAGTATAAGTCCATCTTAGTTTTGATAGGTTTATGTCTTTGTTCATTAAATTTGGAAAACTGCTATATCTATATAAACTTTAGCATATAAACAGCTGCTTTTCGCAGGGTATATTAGGCTGCTCAAAATATTTCCATAATCTGAATTGCATTTGATTAAAAGGAACAGCAGAAAAAAACTTGAAGGGGGTGAATATCTTTTCACGGTGCTATACTTAAAAAAATACCATACTTTGTTATCATCAGAGCTGATTTTACATTTATACACAGAAACATCTCTGTTTGTCAGCAGATTAAAAGCTTTTAATCTGATAAACGGTATTCTATTGTTAATAGGTATTAGTGGCTTTTTGCCTAAATGCTCTGCTTTTACAACAAAGCAAATGCCAGAGGAAGGGATAGCTGATAGTTTTGTAAGAAGATACAACACATTGCTGTACTATTTTGAAAGTGAGTGTTATTAAACGGTATAAGCCCACTTTTGATTGAAAACGTTTTTCCAATGGACTGTAGTCATTGTAGGCAGTGTCTTCAGACAGTTTTTTCTTTTTTGCAGTGTCTTAATGTAAGATTTAGCTCATACTTTTTGTGTAGGTGAAGTATACATTATTGCTGTCTACCTCTGCCAATGACTTTTACAGGATTTGAAAAATGGGTCGTCTTCTTCCCCCAACCAAACTCTTCTGTTTTTGTCTGTTTTCTGTCTGCAACTGAGTTTATATTTAAAGAATTTTGATTCCCCCTCCTTCCACTCTTTAGTAGCACTTTTATTTTTTAAAAGCAAAATCACAACGTTAGCCAGAAAAACAAATGTGTGTTTGACTTTTCATGTCATTAAAGAACATTTTATATTTGTGTGTGACACAAGATTATTTTTTTGTCTCTCATGGGGCATTTCACCCCTGGGTCTTCGTCAGAGATGGCAAAAGTACTCACTTTCTGTACTTGAGTAAAAGTACAGATAGTTGTG